CTGGCACATTTATTAGATGTAATAATATTGGGATATTTAAGTCACTACAAACAAATATAATGATATAGGAGGAATTTAGTCAAAATTATAACTGTGGTATTCTTTAGGAGATTTTTTTTTTTCGATAATGCTTTACTGTATTGAACATTCACCTTCTTCAGTGTGTAATAAGAGGATGATCAACAGGAAGGAAATAAGTCAGGGAAGAGGAGAAATGATCTAGCTGGGGATAAGTATCTGTAAAATTCTGGGTGCTATAATTCCTGTGGCCTGGAATTTCTGTCTCCTTGTCTTATACGAGGCAAACTCCTACTCATTCAGCATCCAAATTAAATGTCCACTGTGTGAATTGTTCCTCAGTTCTGCCTTCTGAGGGCAACATACTGTTTGTTTTTTCAGATTAAAATGTATAATGTAATTGTGTGATTTTGTATATGAATTTTAAAAACTCTGTATTTCTTATATTAACAGGATATTTTTTATTTGCATATGCCTGAATATATTAAAATGTCTATTAAAGAAAAAATTTTGGATACACATATACTGAGTGTATAGATGCGTGTATGAATTAATGACTTTATAATAATAATACAATAGATTAAGTGATTTCTAAGAAAGCTTTTCAAGTTTATGATTCTTTTGTTGAATACGCGTATAAGTAAATATTTCAGTCATAATAAATGTTTGCTCAACAATATATACTGAGTGAATCAATAAACTAAAAGGTGAATTACTTTCATTGTAATTTTATAGCATAAATATTTTGCATGGGCATATGTACTGTATCTTTTTGTTTATGTTGACATGTTATCGGGCATGTTATGATTATATATATCCTTTAAAGAAAGTTGCTCTTAATTGGCATTAATGCCCAATACCTTTTTCAATCACCTTAGAAAAAAACATTAGTTCTTCTCTTTACAAGGCATCTTCCGCAAGGGTAACTTTTAAATTCATTGTCAAAATTAAGAATGCCCATTCAGTATTTTGGTAGAATTATGATGCCATAATGTTTCTGATTTAGAAAGATGAAATACAGCTTGCTTTTATAATTCTGGGGACATTGTACGATTTATAACAAGTGCAAATGATATTATATAAATATTGTTAAGAAAAAAAGGCACTTATAATTAATGTTGTCAGCAGTGTTTAATTTTGGAAATGCAAACTAAGTCAACTTACTTCCTTTCCCTAGAAGTGCTGCCACTGTTGTGACATTGTGTTTCATTTTGTAACCCATCTACTACTTAGGCCAGATATGCATTTTCTGGATGCAATCTGTTGGTTTCCAATGGTTTACTACATGGTGGGCTCTATTGACAAGTAGGTGACAATATCTTTGGCACACTAACTAGTGTAGTGTCCTGTGGTTTGTCCTGTGCTGTGCCTTGTTACTGCATGATGAGTGTAATTTGCCATGTCCATATTGCAAGTATAATAGATTTTGCATGTATAGCTTATGTTCTCATGTTATACATCACATGTGTTAAACTTCCTACGCAGTAATCTATTGTTGAATTTAAACAAATCTTGCTGCATGTCGATTTTGTCAGTTTTGCTCAGTTTCTAATGCTATTTTAGTTTCGTGTCATCTATAAAAATAACATTATTACTATTGACATAGTGGTAGAGAAAACCTAAAGATTCAGTGTCGTGGTGCATTAATATCATTACCATACCTTCTGGAAATGTTCAAAGTACATTAGAAATGCCCATTTTAACTTAGATTTATGAGTTAATAAACTTATTAAGAGTTTTTATTCTAGTCACATTACAGAGTTATAATCT